CCTGTAATCCTAGCACTTTGGGAGGCCAAGGTGGGTGGATCACCTAAGGTCAGGAGTTCAAGACCACCCTGGCCATCATGGTGAAACCCCATCTTTTTAAAAAATAATAATAAATAAAAATAAATAAATAAAAATTTTAAAACCTTGCTTACTCAAATCACAAATTCTTCAGATACGTCTTTTCCATTTGTTTCAAATATTGAGCAGGCCTGAATAGCCAAGCACAGAAACATCAGAAATCATAGGTAGATCTCTGAAAAATGCTGTTTCGAGCCCACAAGAATTGTTTTGACTAGCCATTGTACCATTTGCAAATGCAGATAACACCAAAGTGCAAATTATCTTGAGTCCTAGAAAAACAACAGATGCAGTAGGGTCAAGAAGCAGGATGTGTGAAAAAGAGGATATGAGAAAAAAGCCCTATCTCCTCCACTCCCTAGCTACTAATTTTGGGAAAGCCATTTTCTCTCTCTGAGCTTCATTTGCTTTATCTATAAAATGGAATAATAGTCTTACTTCTCTCACAAGATGTATGGAAAGTCAAATGAGAAAACATACTTGGAAGCACTTTATAGCCTAAAAGTTGCAATATAAATACATCAATCTGTATTTTGTTGTTGTTGCATGAGGAATGTTCAACATACAGGTTAACTTACAATCTAAACATAGAATTTTTATTTCAAAGTAAATAAAACTATTTTACTATTACTAAAAATTGATATAAAAAACAACTTGCCTTGGATTGATTTCTCTTTCCACTTCTCATGCTAAATTTCTCCTTCATTTCTTCTAAAATTATCTTCAGTTTCTTTTCTTCAGGTGTTCCTAAGTATTTTTGGTTCACATGAAGATAGCAATGCCATTTAGCCGATTCAAAGCCCCAGTGGCAAGTTCTTTTGTCAGGTGATCGGTGAGAATGCATCACAAACGTCTGGGGTGCAAACATTCCACAACACTCCAAACACTGAATACATGGAGCATCAGGCTGAACATAAAACTGGGGTGCAAACAGTCCCTGACATTTGCCCAAACATTCATGTTCCACTTCAAAGGCACTGCCAGTTTCCTTTAACCGGGCCAATGAGTTTTTAGCAGGAAGTATGCTACCATTTTGAGGAAAAGTTCGTGGCCGCAATAAAGCATTACATAATCTTTGTGCATCAGTTAATGTAATCAGCCCACAGGATGGGGCATTGAATGGAAGTATGCCTAGTACCTTTAAGATATGAAGCTGGTCTGAAGAACACCTTGAACAATATATGTATAGTTCATCACACACTGTATTTATTTGCTGGAGTGTAAATTCTCGGAGAACAGAATTTAAGACTTGGGGCAAACAGAGCCTCTTTTCTCCTCCAACTTGAAAACAAGAAATAGATTCCCCTTCCAACACAGTCTGGGTGAGTTCTGTGGAGCTATCGGAAGGGATGAGCAATGGGCCAGGAAGAACCTGCGGAGATGGAAGAGGCAGAAATACAGTAGGCGACATGCTTTCTTGGGAATACCGAGCAGAAAATGCTGCTGGTCCACCTAGAGAGCTCTGACTACTTAAATGGAATTGTGCCAATGTGTGTTTCAAACTGGGATTTAAACGTAAAGTTTCAGGAACGGAAGCACAGGTTCGCTTGACATGTTCTCCATCAGTTTCCACTGTCATGTCTTCATAGTCATCCAAGTGTTCCTTCTTTACTGTTGGCACCTTGTTTATCATCTTTCCACTTGCATGAATGTCTGTCATCATTTTTTTCTCTGGGGGGCTGCCATCATCTCCCATCCCATTCAGTTTTTTAGTTGAACCCTGAACCAAGGAGAAATTTGTCTGGAGGTTTTCCATTGCTACACTACTCTGTTAAACAATTAAGTCTGAGATTCGCATTTCTATTTAGTTGCTTATTTGAAAAGGGGAAAGTAATGAATGTATACAAATACTTATGGTAACTTACTTTCACAAAAACTTTCTAAAGAGAGATCCCCTTAAATTACTCAATACTTAGTTTTGGTTCTCCTTATAATCTGGCGTAATTTCACTACAAAGCCTATTAAATTGTTCGTTTTGCCTCCAATAATAAAGAAGAGGCACACCTCTGAGGATGCTTTGTTTTCTTGAATTTTCAGAAATACATATCAAAATAAAGTTACCAATTTCTCAATTCAAGATGTCCAGGATCAATGCAATGGCTTGGTTTCGTTTGTTATAAGCAAACACATGAAAAGTTTATGCCATTCCTTGGGCCATAAAATCTGGACTCAAACACAAGTCAAAATGATGCAACCCAATTTAAATCTTTACCACTAAGAAAATCAAAAAGGAGGGCAGAGGGAGTATTTCCTCTAAAAATGATGGTCTGCTGGTCTGTGCTGAAAAACTGAAGACGTGTGTAAATCCTCACACCAGTAAAAGCAGCCTCTGACTTCTTGAACTTCTACAATCAACAATGATACTTAACAAAAAATTGCCCAGTTATCTTCCAAGATTATAGTTCATTCTTCTTTTAATTAATCTGCAAGAAGAGAAGGGGGTGGGGAATAGTTACATTTGAATTTGCTCCAGAGGCCAAAGAAAACCAGTTTCTTTGTCTTTCTTTCTTTTTAAGAGTCTCGCTCTGTTGCCCATGCGGGAGTACAATGGCACAACCTCGGCTCGCTGCAACCTCCGCCTCCCGGGTTCAAGCAATTATCTGTCTCAGCCTCCCAAGTAGCTGGGACTACCGGCGCACGCCACGAGGCGTGGCTAATTTTTTGTATTTTTAGTAGAGGCAGGGTTTCATCATATTGGTCAGGCTGGTCTCGAACTCCTGGCCTCAAGCGATCCGCCTGCCTCAGCCTCCCAAAGTGCTGGGATTACAGGCGTGAGCCACCGCACCAGGCCGAAACCAGTTTCTTAACATTAAACTGAGTTCACTTTACCAAAGGTGACGCTTGCGTGATTTAAATCTGGCACCAGTTTATTAGAACATTCATTTAAATAGGAAAGCAATTTGGAGTTGGGTAAAGCGAGCAATAATGTAACACAAAAGGCCATTTGAGTTGAGAATATGAAGAATCTTAAATAGATCATCTCAATCAGTACCAGAGGCTTTTTCAGTTATGCCATTTTAAGGGGGAAAAATACATTACTTCATCTCCTATTTAAAAACAAAAAAAACAGTTTCATCCAAAAAAATCAAATACGAGTTAACATATATCTACCATATGTAACTAAGTTACAATTTTAAGTGGATTAATTCAGCTGGTCCGTGTACACTATTTTTCTAGAATGACTGTAGGCAAAAATTAACTTTCTCTTTTAAAAGGTTAGCGATTTTACTTAATGGAAGCCAAAAGCTATAGACTCCATGCCTGGGAATCTCCATCCTTGAACAAGACTAATCCGGGACAAAAAGCACAAGGCAGACAAACCTCACAAAGAATGCAAATGGAGGAAGAGGGGAAAAGAAAAGACTCTTCTTCCACTTCCTTCCTGAGAGAAAACCCAAAAGAAATCCAATAAATAGAAATTTTTGCTTCCCTGTGAACAATTTACCATATAACAGACCCAAAGGATTAAGGACCAATACTACTAGCCATCGTACTGACTTTTGTCCACCACAGGAACATACCTCACTTAACACAGGCCAAGGAAGAGGGCAAGAGGCATGACCTAGAACGGGGGAGCCCCAAAACCCTGAAGTCCTCCGCCCACTCAAAGCCACCCACCTATCTCTAACCCGAAGAGGGGGGAGAACAAGGGACACGGAAAGCCTGGAAGTGGGTGTGCAAGGGGGTGGAGGGAAGTAAAGGGAGGAGTCCCCCCACCCCCATCAGCGAGCCTGGGATAACCTCAAGTGCCCTCCCAACACTGCCCCCCCGCGGGAGCCGCGGGAAGGACTATGGAAATCCCCCCACTCGCACCCTCTCCCCGGGAACTTCTCGGGTGTCACCCCAGCGCCCCTAATGCTGCACCTCCCCCCCGCCAGCTCCGGGCCAGAACGAACAGGGCACCGGGGTAGTTCAGGCGCCGAGCGCACATCCCCGCACTGCCGGGGGTTGACGGACGGGGTTGAGCCCAAGGCATCCCCCCGGAGCGCTGCTGGACTGGGGGAGAGGGGTGGTGACGGGCGTCCGGGTCTCCGGGGTCCCCGCGGCTCCCGTCAAGTGCAGCGCCCAGCCCTGCCCGCGCCCACCGCCTGGAGCCAACGAGGCGTAATCCCCCGTGAGACACGCGCTTTTCGACTCCCTCTGGCTCCGACCCCACCCGGGACCCGTGCATCCAAAGCCCCTACTCGGGCCTCGGCGACCGGGGAAGCTCGACGAGCTTTGTGAACTCCGCACCGCCCCTGTCGCCGCCGTCGGGCTCCCCGGAGGCTGAGCGCCTCTGGCCTCCCGCCGCCTTCGCCGCGTCCCTCCCCCCCTGTACCCCCCTCCCCGGCACCCACGAGCCGGAGCCGCACCTGTGCCCGCCGCCGCCGTTCGCCCGCTCCCTTCGGCTGTGCCGGCGCCGCTCCGAACCCCACACACATCGCTACACACAGCCCTCTGACGTCACCAGCCCTCGGCCCGCCCACGTCACTGCGGAGACACACGGCTTCCCGCAGACGCCGCCGCCGTCTCCGGCCGCCCGGGGGAGAGCGAGGGCGGCGGGGAGGGGGAGGGGAAGGGAACGGAGCCAGCGGCGGCGCCGCGCGCGCGGGCTCGTCGGCGTCGCCGCGGCAGCCACTTCGCGGCTCCCAGCTCTCTCGGAAACGCGCCCGCCGTCTGGCCTATTGTGGCTCCTCAGAGCGCCCCCCCACCCCCGGCCCGGTCTCGCGCGCGCGCGCGCGCCCTTCCCCCCAGGCGCGCGCCCGGCGCTCCTAGCCCCGCGCGCCGTCTGGGCGGCTGGCGCGAGGCGCTGTCTGCGGTGCACCCAGCGCAGACAGGATGTTCCCTCCCCACCCCACCCTCACCGCCGCCCTCCCTCCTTCCTTCCTCTAGTCGCCCAGCCGGCTGTCTGGGGCCTCCGCCCCGCCCCCGCCCCACCCGCCGCTGTGTGGTGAAGGGCCAGACCCTGGGGCGCCCTAGACGCTCGGCCGCTGCGCGGCGGGGAAGAGGGGGCAGGGCAGCCGCGCGGTGCACTGTGCGCGACCCCAGCAGCCGGCAGGGCGGAGGCAGTGCCCGCCCGGCAGAGCGCCGCCGCCCGAGGTCAGGCACGGGCGACCCTCCCCCCGCGGGGCCGCAGCTGGGCCGCCCCGCCCCGGAGGCAGCCGGGCGGCGACCGCCTTGCAGGGCCCCCGTGGCCGGCTCCACTCCCCGCCCCCGCGGGACCTCCCTCCTGGGCTGCCGCTCGCCCCCGCGGGGCCTCCTGCCCGAGGGCCGCCCAGCCAGCTGCCAGAGCTCCGCCCCGTCCCGGCGGCCCCAGCCTCGCCCGGGTGGCCTCCACCCAGACGCCTTCCCCTGGCTGACCTCCATCCGCCATCGGGCCGGGCGGGAGGGGTGGCCAAAGTTCCGGCACAACCGTGAGCAAACATTTCTGTCTCTGCTCCCCAGCCTCCTGCCCCCAGCCCACCAGGCTGCTCTCTCGGTTCCAGAGGGGAGCTATAAATTACACGTTTCTACAGTGTTCACTGAGGGTTTTTTTGTTTTGTTTTTTGGAGAAAGACGAGACAAGGTGGGGAAGATAGGACTTAAGAGCTTTCCGGCTGTGACCCTCTGCGGCATATAGGGTGGTCTTCCTGGTTCCCAGGGTTGCCGCTTAGCATATTGAACTCTGCAGAGCTGCTCCGTCACATTTCGAAACACCAAGAAATCCCCTTTTCTCCACCCCACGGCGAGATCTGGAACCGAAACAGTCCACCGAGTAGCAATGCACAAAATTGAGGAGACTCGAGCTTTGTCCCCTTTTTTCTATTTTCGTCCAATTTCTTCTGGATTTTACTGCTTCGGGTCGCTCCTATGGGGGCCCACGTTTGGAGTCGCTGGCTGGAAATACTCTTGTGCTCGTAGATTTTTTTTTTTTCCTTTTTTTCTTACAACAGGCCTCCCAAAGGCTCACAAGCCTCTCAAGCCCCACAGATCCCCGCACCCCTACCCAAGTTCCCTTTCTTAGGACCCCTCCACCGAGCTGCCAGGTCGTGCCCCCTCTCAACTCCCCCCACCCCACCTTTTCTTCGTTCTTGACTGCCTCCTTTCCTGAACATGAATAATTCCACAGCACTTCCCATCTGTTATTGCCATAGAGACAGAAGCTTGGCAAAGATAATGATGTTCTGTGCAGAGCCAGTGGGGGGAAAACAGCATCTGCGAGTCTGGGGGGGATAGATTTTCTAATTGTGAGAATTTTCAGAAGGCCTGGCTGAAGATCCGATGCGAAGACTGGACAGTCCTGAAACTTGGCTCCAGGTCAACTCTCAGCACCTGGCTCCTGTGTCTAGCCAGAGGAACAATTTTTAGAAACTAACGTGACTGGTTAAAAAAAAGTAATTCCAAAACTACAATTATTAATAAATGTTTAGTAGTCATTTTGCTAGCCATAAGAATAACTTGCTGGCATGTCCAAGGACCAAGATAGATTGGACAGTAAACAGACTTTTGAGAAATTAAAGACATTAATCCGCCTCCCCGTTCTGTTGATTTGCATTCCTCAGAAATCTGTTTTTGAGAGAGGTATCTTTCATGCCTGTGATTTTATGTGCAGTGGTTTGACAAATAGTGACCGGCAAATGTGACAAGAACCAATCAAGCTTGAGGGCATTTATTTTTCCCTTATTGGTCGCAGTACAAAATGCACCAAATTAAAATCACTTTGCCCTTGAATTCCAAAACCTCAAAGGTACAGCTTTGAAAGCAAGTGAAACTGAACATGGTCCATTTATACATAGATCTGAGGCAGATGGAGAGGATCACAGGAAGCCACATTTTTGCAGGCCTACTTAAGGATTTTCAGAAGTTATCAGTAAAATTGATTCTATCATATGGCATTGAAAACAAATGATAACGGTTCTTTATTCCAAAAACAGAATTGCAAAGACATAGAAAATGCAGGCCGTGGAGAAAATAAGCACTTCGAGGTTTTTGTAATTCCACAGGCCTTCATCAATGTGGAAAAGTCAATTAAAGAATTGGTTAGCAAATAGTTGTTAGGTGGATTTTGCATGACCTCCCACCTTACCTATTTGGCTGCCAGCGGGAGTTGAGCAAGACCACCAAGAGAGTCCTTGTCTGTGCATAAGAATTCCAAATGATTGGGGGTGGGGACTACCTATTGTTTCATGTTCTTCTGTTAAATAGTACAGAGAGAAGACCCAAATTAACTGTTACTAGGTAGTCTAGAATGTCTTCCTCAGTAGTTATGGCTGTCTGATAGTAAGAGAGACCAAGAATGGAAAGCTTACAAACTCGAGGGCCAGCTCTGTTCTGTGACCCTGATAAATAGTTTGGAGCAAATGCTTTTCTTTTATCTCCATTTACTGATCTATTGATAATGACCACTAATACTAATTACAAAGAATATGGAAATGAAAAAGCATAAGGTAAATTGCAAACAGTCAACATAAATTATGTTTATTTTTATGAAGGAGGGGAAGAAACTCAAATGTTAATTGAGCATACAAATACTGGTTTGTGTTTTCATTTACACCTGCTCTTTTCCAAAGAAAAGAAACCAGTCATAGTCTCTGATGGGCCTTCTGCCAAAGTTCTCCTTCCTGGAGCCTCAATGTGTTTGGAAGTTTCTGTTGTTTTTTTTTTAGCAGCAAGTCAAATGCTAGGAGGTCCTTCAGTTTTTTCACAAAAGAATCTCAACCATTTCCTTTTCCATCTCATTCTTTTCCTGTAGCTTTTCATTAATTTCTGTTTTTCAGAATTATGGTATTTATTTTTATTTATTTATTTTTCTTGAGACAGAATCTCGCTTTGTCACCCGAGTTGGAGTGCAGTGGCACGATCTCGGCTCACTGCAACCTCTGCCTCCCAGGTTCAATCGATTCTCCTGCCTCAGCCTCCTGAGTAGCTGGACTATAGGCGTGTGCCACCATGCCCAGCTAATTTTTGTATTTTCAGTAGAAACGGGGTTTCACCATGTTGGCCAAGATAGACTTGATCTCTTGACCTTGTCATCCACCTGCCTCAGCCTCCCAAAGTGTTGGGATTACAGGCGTGAGCCACCACACCCAGCCCAGGATTATGATCTTTAACTTTTTTTTTTTTTTTTTGAGGTGAGACGGAGTCTGGCTCTCTCACCCAGGCAGGAGTGCAGTGGTGTGAGCTCCCAAGTAGCTGGGACTGCAGGTGCACACCACCACACTTGGCTAATTTTTTGTATTTTTAGACAGACAAGGTTTCAGCATGTTGGCCAGGCGGGTCTCTAGCTTCTGACATCAGGTGATCTGCCCGACTCAGCCTCCAAAAGTGCTGGGATTACAAACTCGAGCCACGCCACTCGGCCTGATTAACTTCTTCACAGCACTTTCATCATTTTTCTACTTGTCCTCTTCCTTTACACTTTTCTCCTCCATATTTGTTTTGTGTTACTGTTACTGCCAGTGCACAGTTTCTTCCCCTCACTGAGTAGGGTTTCTCCTTGAGTCTGCTTTCTCCTGTTATCTGCCAAGTTAGTACTGGATCTACAAGGTCCCTATTTCTACTTTTATACCTTAAGTAAGATGAAAAACCAGATGCTTAAAAACTATTAACCTCATCTCCCTGAATAGTGTCACACAGCACTTCCTTTATTTTTTCCCCCTTCTCTTCTTTTTTAAATAAGGTAGGGTCTAGCTATGTTGCCCAGGCTGGAATACAGTGGCTATTCATAGGTGTGATCATAGTATACTGTGGCCTGGAACTCCTGCACTCAGTCCTCCCACTTCAACCTCCTGAGTAGCTCAGATTATAGGTGCATGCCATCATGCCCAGCTATTTTTTCAGGCTTTAACTTAGGTTTCATGCAATTGAAAGGAAAGAAAAAAAACAAAATTGAATAGCCAGAAATGGTATAATAGAGAAAGATCATGTTAGAAATGTTTGAATTTTCAATATTTAAATTGCAAAAAGCTGGATGTGGTGGCTCATGCTTGTAATCCCAGCACTTTGAGAGGCCAAGGCCTGCAGATCACCTGAGGTCAGGAGTTCGAGATCAGCCTGATAAACATGGAGAAACCCTGTCTCTATTAAAAATACAAAAAATTAGCCAGACTTGGTGGTGCATGCCTGTAATCCCAGCTACTCAGGAGGCTGAGGCAGGAGAATCGATTGAACCTGCCTGGGAGGCGGAGGTTGCAGTGAGCTGAGATCATGCCATTGCATTCCAGCCTCAGCAACAAGAACGAAACTCCATCTCAAAAAAAAAAATTAAATAAATAAATAAATTGCAAAAAATCCTAAAATCAATGTAACAGTCACATTAAGTGTATTTCATTATCAATTCTAGGGATTTCCTAAGTCTTTAGAAAGTTTAGCAGTTTATTGCAAATCAGAACTTTTTTCTCTGACATTCTGGGTGGGGAGGGGGGACTGGGAAGAATCACTATCTTGTCAACAGCTCTATGATGTTACCAAGCTATGATTTTCAAACGGTAAGTAGAGAGTTATAGAATTAGTAGTGCGAGACTCTTAAGTAGCTCAAAGTGCTTCACTTATTCCTATGAGATACATACAAGAAACCCCCTTTTTTAACAAAAGGGAAGTTGAGACAGCGTTTCGGTCACCTGTTGAATCACATTGCTCATGGGTGGTAGAACAGA